TATAATGCTGGGTTTGTGTAAGAGATACTGGAAGAGAGTTGTGTACAGGGTTTTGCCGCCTGTGGCATCCCAGTGTATTTTCCAAACGGTTGATACGATGAGTATGAGCATGATGGTAATGGTCAGTGGTTGGTGTGGTAATGGGTGGCGATTCGATACCGCCGTGAATTATCATTCATGGCAGTGGTAATGGGCGGTGGAGGACGATTGCCTTGTCTTTCCTTGTTTTTCTTTACTTGCTTTCACGACACGACACGAGCTTATGGTGCTACGCTACATGCACGCATTCGCGCACGACGGATACGTTTTCATGACGCTTAAAGCGACACGATGGTTACGAATACTGGTATGCTCAATACATTACATTCATTTGGAGCTCGAGCGTTGCGATAATATACGAGTGAGTTCCTGTGTGACAATTTCGTGTCAGTGAGCACGTCATACATCTTCATCTTCACGTAAGCTACCCTGGACTTAAGCACGGAATACATGACACAGCATATAGCACAAGAGACGCCGCACATCCCGACCATATACCGAAACCAGCAAACTGAGAGCAGAGTGCACTCCAATTCCTCAATTCTTCGTCTATCGTACTCCGTATATCGTCGCCGGGTCGCCCCATAAGCTTCTCATTCAACGCGACCATCGAACGAAAAGCAACTCCGTGTAATATGCTTCGCTAGTAACAACAACGAGTGGTCCGCCCCATTCGCCCTTCGGGTTGCCAAGGTTCCGGCCCGTCCCACTACAGCATTCATCTCCGCGGACATCTCCGCGGCACACTGGATCGCGAAAAAAAACCTGCCCCGCAGCGTGCCGTGCTTAGCGATCAGGGCCAATCCGTCCTACCGTCGCAACCCTTCTGCATAACGTAAATCGTCTCGATCTCTCGATCTTCCCCGTCCAACACCACGGATTCCATCAATACCCCTCCGTCCTAATCCTCACATAACTATCCGCATTACTAACATACCCCCTGAAACTCGGTCCCAGACTCCAACTCGCCAATTCCCTAACCACATCCCTCGCCGCATCACATAAATCCACCTGGCCCGTCTCTTCATTACTACACAGCGCCTGGTCCGTCGCAAATGACCAATCGCACTGGATATTCAGACTCATATCCATGAGCCACTCCATGCGCTCCTGCATAGCAGGGATCTGAGTAACGAGTTCGCGGAAGGCGGGCCAGACGATGAAGTCGACGATGTTGATGTGGGGCATGAAGAGTTGGTTGGGCGTGGGGCGGAACCATTCGGGGATTGCGTTGTAGGTTTCTGGGCTGGGGGAGATCATCCAGCGCATTAGGTACCAGAAGAGGTACATGGAGCCGAAGCAGGAGAAGGTGTTACCTGCGGGGGGTTGTTAGCGAGGGGAGATTGGGGGATGGGTAAGGTGGAGTTGTTACCCTTCATGTATACGCCGTGCACCATGCCGACTGCCCATTTGGTGAGTATGCCGGAGTTGTTGTATACGTCTTCGTCCCATAGCGCGGCAAGATTCGGATGGATCTCGATGATTTGGTCCGCTGGTATGCCCATGTTCATAAGTGTTGTTGCTTGTTCGTAGATACCAGGGAATGCGCGTTTTAATGAGCCAGGGTCGGGCACGGTGTTGATAGGTAACATGGACCATGTGGGTAGAAACAAGTTGGTGATCTGCGTCTCTTGAATGTCGCCTGGATAGTGGTTGCTTCGGATGCTACTGGAGAATGGCATGTTGCCGAAGAGGTTGCGGAGATTGAGATTCGGGTGTATTCTGATGGTGTTCACGATCGGTTGTCGGCCAGTGAGATGCGTGGGGTATGCCGAGCGTATCGTGTTTTGTCTATGTGGTGAGGGCCGTTGGCTTCGAGATGGTTTGGATGACGGTGCCGCGTTCGCGACGCCGTCGAAGTTAGTTCCTTGCTGCAGAAGTCTTGGGTCAATCTGGCTTTCAAGCCTATCTTCCTCCTCACTCTCTTCCCCCTCATCCCTTGTTAGAAGATAGTCCTCTCGATCAAACAGCGGGACTAGGAAAGGATGATCGTTTGATCCGTCCGTCGTTGCTTGTTGTTTTCCCTTACCCGACGCAAATGATGATGAAGGATTGTTTGCCGAAGGCGACCAGCCTCTATTCTGACTTGTTGGTGATGCCATGGAGATGTTAGAGCCTTTTCGAAACTGCGAGCCGCCTTTACTCGTGTCGAATGCGGATTCGTGGCTCATACCGCTTCCAGAAGTGTCGGTAGACTCCTGACCCAGTAAGCTGAACCAGAGTTATCAACTTGTTGTAGCCAGAGGAAGCTGTCGAGTGATGCATACCTGGGGGGATGGCCGGATATCGCCGGGGATATTGTCATTGGGAGGGTCTTCGCGACCTCTTCGGGAGCTTCACCAAGCCTTAGTCGAGCAAGAACAGCGGCGGCCTGGTCATCGGTCCCGGAGCGTAGCGATGTGACTATGCGCTTCAGATCATCCAGCTCGCCAGTCATGCTGTCTCTTTTCATAATCTTCATGCGCTCAGCTCGCGAGACACCTTCGGCGACGTCGTATTGACATGATAGGTCGTTCTCCTTGCATCGGTTGCATCGGGGTCTCGTGCCGTCACACTAGGAATAATCAATCAGCACAGTCCGCGGGGCCAATGAAAGCTGCAAAAGGCCTACGTACAGGTAGTGTCACATGATGTGAGTACCTATAGAAGAGCGCAAATCAGGTATGCAAGGGCCTTGAGTACTTGGAAGTATCATTCAGTGCCCTGCAGTGCTGAGTAGCATGGCATAGTGCCTGAAAGCTGAGCGAGATACCTTGGAATGGTCCAGGGCATTGCTATCGCGTGTAACTCGGTCCTACGTACCTTAGCCTTCCCATTTCGGCACTGCACGCACGCCACGGCAACAGCCTGTCGCTTCTTCCGCCGGTCTGAGGTTGGGCGTCGCTGCCCCGGCTCATCTGAGGCTGGTGCAATGCTTTGCCATCGCTCCGAGTGATCCATACCGTGAATGTCGATGTAGTGGGCGAGATTCCCAGTGCTCAGAGATGCCAAAGTCGCTTGTGGAGCCGGTGGAGCCTAGGCAGTGTCGGATGCGTGAGCGTGTTCAGCAGGCCGTGTTGTTGGGCTCGCCTCGCGCTCTGGAGTTGCGCTTCTCCTACCTGTACACATCTGCAGCGGTTCGCCACTTCCTGTTGCACAGATAAACCGGTCGATGCGCCACGGGTCCCTCGCCTTGGAATATTTGAACAGATCGCATTTGCGACCAAGATCGAATTTGATCGAAAGCTCGGTACAAAAGGCCGACAGCAAGCTTCGTCCGGGAATGCTCTCCTGACCAATGAGATGCTATGGCGCACCATCTCACGTGCTGTAAAGACCGGTCCAGAATAAGGCATCGAAATCTGTTACTATGAAAAAGAGGCGAAGGAGAAAAGTGCATGAGGGTGGAAACCGAGGCTACGTTCCAGACGGATAGATTGGCTAGCTTCGGCGGCACACGTGCGGCGGTTCGGGTCCAGATGTATTTGCTCGCTAGCATTCAACGGGGTTCCAGGCTCCCCAACGCTTCGAGAGCCTCAAACGACCGCCTGAGGTGTGGGTGAAGGCTGGTCATGATTGGACGGCGTACAGCGACAGGTGTGGTGGAGTGGAGGTGGCTGTGCGCGTCGCGCTGACTGCTACCTAGGTAGACTGATCCATTGCAACCGAGAAATATCTCGCATCGAAGTGTGACGTCATGCCATCCACAACATCTCCCAAACAACCTTCTCTTGATCTTAGTAGGCATACCATGCATATACGGCACTGGGCGCGGCAGTTAGGTCGGTAAAGCGTCGTCGCCACCGGTCCTACCCGGTGGGCTCGTCATGTCGCCATCCGTACATTGAGAAAAAAGGCAAAATCGCATTGCGCCACGGAAGAGTTGGCGGACGAGGTTCAAATACAACATGCGTGATTGACGTCACTGGGCAGACTGAACTCCAAGATTACTTTGAGGTGCCACGATGGCAAAATCGGAGCCTAGACCACCTCGCGTTGGAAAAAAACGTCCGACGGATGCTACTGGCTACATGCATCGGCAAGTTGTGTGGAATCGACATACGTTATTTGTCGTGGTATTGCACAGAGATCGCAACACCATAAACGGGAGCGGGTGCCTGTAGTACTGCGACATTCGTGCGTCCTCTTTTGCTTGCTCTACAAGGTCCGGAGTTTGAGGCCGACCCGCCTCATTTTTTCGAGCCCACAGTCAGCACTTCGAAAATAGGGCGACTGATATGGTATGCGCATGGCTTTGCTAGCTATATGTCGACAAACTTTCCCTCTTTGAACTGCCGTTGCATGAAGGATGATATCTGATGAGAGTGGAATCTGAACACTTCAACACGTGATTCTCGTAACGAGTTTCCTCAGCTCCGGCTCCAGAAAACGAAAACGTGTGAACATGCTAGCCACGTTGGTACCGCCAGCCTTGCCGATTCGCCCACGGAGTGCACATTCCGAAACACCTTGACGAAAGGGGTACGAGCCAGACCTCCAAGGGCCATGGGCTTTGCAAATCGCATACCGACACCAAGGTAGCCTCATCTTGGATCCACCTCGGTTGGCCCTCCGCCGAAATCTCGGCCTTCAGCGCCGCCCGCCAATCTGTCGCCAGCGGCAGCTGCATATGAAGTCCAGGTACTATTCAGCTGTGCCTCAACTAGGAGTAGGGAACATGCTTCCTAATGAGGCTGGGCAGAGTCCATCTGCGGGTTCTAGGCTATGAACTTCGTAACGAACTTTGCACGCGAGAATAAGTGTTGAAAATGCGGATACGCGATGAGGTGATCTGTAAGATAAATTGTGTTACTAGCAACGGGCGACTACGCCTCAGAAGTTCCTGACTCCTTGCTCGGCATAGAAAATTCCCTCGGTATATCCTCCACTCTATGTCTTCGCTAAGGTCCTGTACTGACAAAAGAAAGCGCTATACCATGGCCCAATAGAGACAAAACCCGTAATCTAAGCACCCATGGTATCTAAACCCGACCCAATACGATGTCGTTATCCGATGATGTGGTGTCCATACTCTTGCCCCGACTCGCCCTGTTCTTGCCAATAGTGTTGCCGAGCGCTGGGAAGCAGTACCCAGGATGGAATACGGTAAGCACCAACACACTCATGAAGATCATGACACCTTCCAAGATGATAAAGTCCGTCTCGTCGCGCATGAGCTCACTGCCCCAACCATCCGTGAGTTCCGGGATACGGTAGATGCATCGAATGAAGATACCCAAGAAGCCAATGATGATGGCGAACATGAAGCAGCGGAACGATGTCTTGTGGAAGAGCGTCATTGCGCTGGAGGAGAGTTGTTCGCGGCGTTTGTAGGTGCGGATAGTGTACTCGACGAGAAGGGCGCCAAAGAAGGACAGAACGACGACCTGGATGACGACACCGGCCACCATGAGATTTGTTCCGGTGTCTTGTAAATCCGAGCCGCTATCTGCTGTAGCAGCAATGCCACCGCCGGCACCCTGGAGAACGAGCGAGACGATGTCACCAGTGATGAAGATGCGTGTGTACCACACCGGCGGCAAGCGTGACCACGACTGTCCGAAGTTGATGACGATGTGCTTGAGCGTGAGGTATATCCCAGCGGAAACGAAGGCGGGGGAGATAATCAAGCAACAGATCTGCATCTGGAAGCCTGTCTCGTCGTAAGGGTTGTTGTACAGGAGGATGCGTCCGATGTATCCAACGAGCTCGCCCAAGCAGCCTAGACAGAGGGCAATCTATCGGACGTTAGATTCGTCTTGCTAAATCGAGGAATAGTTTACCATGTAGGTCCACGTCTTGTATCGGATACCCAGCCCCAAGTTGATAACCAGGCAGAGGCCAAAGAAGGCCGCGAAGAAAGCATTGGCTTCGATACTGGGGTAGTAGCCGTATAGTGTACCCTCTACGGGACATTCGGGGCCAACTTCGACGCACCACTGAGGGACGTCTACTTGTTCGGGCATCGTCAAGGGGTTTTTGGGAGCTGGAGGGTCGTTGCGATAGGGGTGGAATACTCCGAAAGCGATTGAGATAAGTGATCTCTGGGGAAGATGGAGGTGAGTGCGGTGGTTCGTGATGATAACCTGTTAAGGACGGATGGCCCGGCACCTTATAGCCTACAGTCGGAGATACAGGTGAGATGGTGTTTCGCACCATGCACCGAATCCATACATGGTGCAAGTATAGCCCCAGCCTGAGGCAGTGCGGGCTACGCGTATCTCAACGACCCGTTTGCTAGTCCTAGAATAGCCAAGGATGCGAAATCTGACAGGCGCATGCAGGAAGCCTTCTCTTGCAAGCCACGTTCTAAGTCATCACTGTTTCGCGGATTGCCCCAGGATAGGTCTAGCGGCATCGCTTCGGTCGCCAAGAGTTCCGAATGTGGGTATGATTGGGTGCGTCATGGGCTTTGGGCTGAGCAAATGTTGGTGATGAACTTATTTCACCGGATGTGTTTGCGTATATACGCATCTTCATCCGAATCTCCACATCATCTACGTAGGTGATGTGAAGGCGTGGGCCAATCGAGTATCTTGGACACAGGCTCGCGCGACACGATAGCCGCGAAAGACAACACCGAGTATGCCAAGGACACAGCAAATAATGCGCCAGTCACTACAGGGAGACGATGGAGACTGTAGTAGCAATCGTCTATATTCGACTGTTGTTCGGCCCAAGTCTGTAGACCTCAGAGGCATACGACCGGCGCCATGCTGACGTTTTGACGCATTCTGCGGAGGAACTTTAGGCCACCGCACTGCAGAGACACGGTGAGTTGTCAAGCCACCAAGGAGTCCGACGAATTATCAGTGGATAAGAATTGATTTCTTAGCGGTATCCAGTTGGTTCCTCGTGTTTGATAGGGCTTGGCACCTCATCGTCCCGGTTACTCGGTCTTCGGTCGATGGACGGTTCCTCCTCGTTTGCTCGTTCGCAACCAACAAGCTTTGCACAGCCATGATACATGCGCTCGAATAGTCGTCGTTTTGCGAGCGATGAAATGTGAGCCCCATTGTCTCACCCCTTTATGCTCATTAGCATCAATTAGGGACCCGCGTGAAGATTCGTGCTGGAGCAGCGCCGTGCTTGCCGTCACCGTCAGTAGCCAGGAGGGAAGTAGAGGACAGTTCGGAAACCATGGCGCAAGCGATACTGAAATTGAACAAACAGCTCTGAACAATGTATCGGACGAATCGTGATGCACTTGATGAAGGTGTTGCGATGGACCATGGACGCGGCATCAGCGATGGAACGCGAGAACCCGCCCGGCGCTTCGGCATCCGCATCTCCGACAATCTGGAGCAGCCGTGCGTACCTAGATCTCTTGTATCCCAGCTCTTTTTCGCAGCGCTCGCTCACCGTCTCGCGCGACATTGAAAGATCGCGATTCACACTTACACCTACGAATGGATCGAAAGTTTCCAGCGTCTCAACAAAGGAGCCAAGGAAATGTACCCGGTCCGGATTGAGCGTCGATATTGCGCGAAGAGCAAACTTCAGTGAGCCATAGTCAATGCGACGTCTGCATCATCAATTCCATCAGCTTGGCGTCCGGCTGTTCGGAGACGATGGACTTGTCATCGCGCGATCACGGAACCTGTCACAATACTTCTCTCCGCTGAATGCGAATGACCATGAACCCAACGGACGGCCAAAGGGATGCGAAACCCGAAAGAGATTACTCTTTGACAACCGCCCTTCGATTAATAAATTGCAGGCTGCAGGCGCAAGATTGACATACGCTAGAGGATTCGTAAGACGATCTTGCATGCTTGGGTTTCCAGCGGCTACTTGCTCTCCTTCTCAAGACCCTAGCGGCAGTACACCGGCGTATGTGAAGTGCAACAGTTACTGCGCAATATACCACAGCGTTAGTTCCGGATATAAGACGTTTGGCACCACAACCACGGGACGAGCGGCCCCAGCTGGATGTCGCAGCATGCACTCTTGAGATGGCATCTGGCAGAAACTCCAAAGTCGACACCGAGCAGCCCGAGCATTCGTCAGTCTCGATCTTACTTACGCACGTAATAGCAAACTGTAGAAAAGGACATTGTCTTGCTAGAGCGACCAAGAGCACACGTCGCATACTAAACACTGCAATTACCATCGCGTGGCGTCTGCATTGGACATGCTGTACCACATCGGCTCTCCCACACATGTCCGACTGTCGGTACATGGTATACCAAAGTTTCCGAGAGATCACCATCGTTTTTGCCTCAACCGCACCACGCTAACCTGTTCCTAGTCTAGGCAAGCCATCATGGAAGCATTGAGATGCACGCCACTTGTGTCTTCCATTCTTTTTTAGCCCAGCACGCGAGACAGCGTTTCGGACGGGGTTCCAATTGGCATCTGTCGCTCCTTGCATTTGCATGTGGGTTTTCTTGATCCGCCGAACACCCTATGTGAGCCAATGGCTGGCCTCGGTATCGTCAAGCTTTATACCTCCACTATGATCAAAACGATCAAACCATTCCCGCGTTGCAGCCCGCTTCTCGCATGGAGACGGTCGGACCCTTGTTGCATCTGTGCAACATGGTTCTTTTGCGCGTATCGGGTGCTGGAGCGCAGACGCATTTTACCCCTTCTAGAAGGGCGGTCTGTTCAAAGCCGTTGATCTTAGCCCGTCGTGCAAGGGTTGGGAGCTTCGAAATATTGAATACGCGTTCATGTCTGATCGGATCGATTGAATCATCGTCGAACGGGCCAACAGCGGCAGTCATGTCTATGAAAAGCATACATTCCTACTTAAACTCCCCGGAGCGCTGCTTCTTCAACCAAATATTCACTCATTATATTTCATTCGTTACTTGTTGAGCAACATGCCGGGTCTATCTCAGGCACTCTTGTTGGCGGTGTACGCTGGAGTAGCTTGCGCAAAGACTGTCACTTACGATTTCGAGGTTGGCTACGTAACTGTGAGTACTCTACTTTACTTGTTGACACCAAATGACAACGCTAACTTACTGTAGGCCGCACCTGATGGCTTCGAGAGACAGGTCATTGGCATCAATGGAGAGTGGCCCATTCCTACCATAGAATGCGATGAGGGTGATACCGTTCAGGTGACGGTTCACAATAGCCTTCCGGATCAAACCACTGCTCTTCATTTCCACGGCATATGGCAAAAGGGAACGCAAAACTACGACGGTCCCAGTGGAGTTACTCAGTGCCCCATTCAACCTGGATCGTCATTCACCTACACTTTTATCGCAAACCCTGCTGGCACTCACTGGTACCATGCGCACGAGAAAGGCCAATATCCCGATGGTCTGCGCGGCAAGATGATTGTGCACGACAGAGCTTGGGAGGCGAGCTTGAACATCGATAAGCAGGTGTACCTTTCAATGTCCGACTGGTAAGCAAATTCAGCCTTTTGTGCGTGCGCGAGCTCACAGTAATCAGGTACCACCGCCCTATGCCGGAAATGATCGAGGCTTACATGAGCCCTGACAACACAAACGCCAACTTCGACTCGCCCGACTCTTTCCTCTTCAACGATCAGGCCAAGCCTTTTGACCTCAAGATCGCTAAGAACAAGAGGTACCTTCTTCGCATCGTCAACACCGCCGCTGTCGCATGCGCTCGCTTCCACATTGCAAACTACACGCTGAGCGTAGTTGAGATTGATGGTGTCCAAACGCAGCCCCAGGAGGCAGAGACGATCATCATCTGCGCCGGCCAGAGCTACGGTGTAGTTGTGCAAGGAAAGAAAGACCCCAAGGGATCCTCCAACTGGATTGCGCAGATGATGACAGACATGTTGACCAACGGCGCCCCCTCAGCCGAGGAGCGAACGGTTATCGGAGAAGTTGTCTACGACGACATCTTCGGCGAGATTGACGACATCATCGACAGCATCTCCGATGAAATCGACGGCATCTTGCTCGACGACGAGTGGACGCCGCCTCCGCAAACCATCCTCAACGACTTCACCATGAAGCCGCTTGATGGCCAGAAGCTCATGGGCCCCGTCGACAACCACATCGAGTTCACCACGAACCAGACCTACTTCGAGGGCGTCGGTACCCGCACTCCTCTCAACGCTCAGCCCTGGGTTCCTCCTCAAGTGCCTACTCTTTACACTGCTCTGACAACCGGCAGCATGGACCCCGCTACCTACGGCCCCGGCATCAACCCCTGGGTCATCAAGTCTGGCGAAATCGTTCAGATTGTCATGCACAACCCACACATGTACCCTCACCCCATGCATCTCCACGGCCACGTCTTCCAAGTCGTCGCCACGGGTCTCGGAGTCTGGAGCGGCGATGAGAGCTCGCTTCCCCGAGTACCCCTCAAGCGCGATGGTTTCGTCGTCCCGGCTTTCGGCTACGCAGTTATCCGCTTCAAGGCTGATAACCCGGGTGTGTGGTTCTTCCATTGCCACATCGATTTCCATCTCGTTGGCGGTATGGCTGCTACAATCATTGAATCGCCTGATCTTCTGAAGGGCTCTGTTCCTGCTGCTGGTGTTGCCCTTTGCGACGCGGGCAAGAGGAAGTCGAGCGGTAACTGCGCTGGTGAGAAGGGTGAGATCTCTGCTGCGGACGCGAGCACCAAGTGCAACAACGTGTACAACACGCGTGTTCGTGGTGCGATGATCGAGCAGAACTAGTCTTTTCGCACTTTGCATCTTTTCCTCTTCTTTGTAGAACATTGAATACTGTACATGTCTTCATCTATATTTAATTAGACTGTATCTTATCATACCACTATTTCTTTTCGTAATACAATTCAATGGGCTTTGCCACATCCACACCCGCTCTTGGTCCCGACCCTCTTCTTCCAGCTCCATGTAATTGTCGGGTCGGCAACCATTTTTTGCATCACTGCAGTGTCTTTGTCATTCCAGCCCTTGTCCAGCATGCTCATCTCCACACTTAGCCTCGCATACCGCACCGCCTCCCATTTCATCCCGAAACTACTGTATGTCTCCGCGGCATGCTGATACGCTGTTGCG